AATAAAAGTACAGTAATAAGCAATTAGTAAAGCTCTGCATATAGGAAAATTATTATACAAAGGTTAGATTTAATGCTTGAAAAAATTTCCTGTTGTAGCAGTCATCGGTTGCTATAGTGATATGATCAGTATACGTGTGCGTATTTACATTTAGCTGTGTGTATGCTGATTTTTGCTTCACCTGCAGTACGCGTTTAATTAACTACACATCAGCAGTACAGTACGGATACGATGAATAACTAATGTAATTTGTATTGTGTTAGAAAGAACTTATTTCTAATGCTGTTTTTTTACCAAATAACTGTTAAATATTGTATCCATCAGCTACCAGTTGGTAACAACTAGTACTCTATTCTCATACTACTGTACTGTGACATTGGAAGATAGCACCATAATCAGCAAACTACAACATGTATAATTATATCAAGCCTTCAAAAATGATTTTTCAATTGTATGTGAAGTAGGTGTATCCTTATTTCTTGTAAATCACTTGCAAATATTCAGGGGGGGGGGGGGGCCAAATGTTTAACTTTCACATATTTTTTCCAATCCCAAAGCAAAACAGGCTTGTGGGCATCTCTGACATGAGTCCTTTGTGACTCGATTGTCACACTTACGATTCTGTTTCTCCTTCATTTCCCACTTTCTAGCAATAATGATCAAATTTTGATCATGTTCTATACAATTTAGTATAGTTCTCTTTATTAATGGCAGGATCTGCTTTAGGAGCAGGTTGGTTGTAGTAGTCGCCTCGCATTCCTTTGAACTTGAGGGGCTGATTATAAGTATAAGGTTGATCGTATACCTGATTGCAGTCTTCAACTGGTGGATTTTCTGCTTCGGTTGCTGTCGGTTTTTGCAAAGAACCAACCATTGTATTTTCATAGATAGAGCCAAAGTCTGGATCATCTGGATTTTGCTGCGACATTGGAGCTTCATAATCTCCACCAAAATCCTGCTCTCTTGCAAACTTCTGAATCATAGGAGCTTCATAGTCTTCCCCAAAATCCTGCCCTCCAGCAATGTTCTGCCCCATCGGAGCCTCATAATCTCCTCCAAAATCCTGCCCTCTTGCAATGTTCTGTACCATTGGCGCCTCATAATCTCCACCAAAATCTTTCTCTTTTGCAATATTCTGCACCATTGGAGCCTCGTAATCTCCACCATAATCTGGTTGACATGCAATTCCCTGTGCCATTGGAGCCTCATATGTATCTCCATAATCTTGCGGCTTGTTTTCCAGCTTTTTAGCGGACTTTCCTTGTGGTTTCTTACTTACTTGTGGCTTTTTCTTTTGTACCGGTGGTGGAGGACACACTTTCCGAGGTGAGTTAGGATTTTGAAATTTTTCTGACAGCTTTTTTATCACATTAACATCTCTGTCAACGTTAACATTTCCATACTCACCACCATAGTCACTATGATGAACTGGTGGTAGTTCTTGAGCCTTTCTTTTCTTTGTATGAGTATCTGGATGATTAGATACTGATACTGGTTCATATGTGTTATCAAAATCCTGATCAGGTACCCTTGTTGGTGAGGAATTATCTTTAATGACAATCTCATAATCATCTCCATAGTCTGTACTGTTGCCTACGAGCTGATTGCCAGCTGGTGTAGGAACTTCATAATCACCACCATAATCAGGTTGCGTTACATTTGGCGTCTCATACATGTCTCCATAATCTTTAGTATGTTTTCGACTAGACACGGGTGTCACCACTCCATGTATGTCTGCATCATCAATTTGCCTTGGACCTACAAAAGAAAATGAAAAATATTACTGGCACATTATGATAAGTATGGTGGGAACAGGAGAGGGGGGAGGGGGTAAAATTGTGGTTGCAAAATACTAGTATGAAGCAGAAGCACATGCAGGCTGGGGAACTATACAAAAGTGAGGGGGAGGAGAAATATATAAAAGTGAGGGGAACTATCTGTGGTAGCTGCATTTATGTTTCAGCCTTGTTGCAAAATGTGTCACAATTCAATGCTCTGAACAAGTTTCCATTGACAATTTTATTCCAGTATAAGTATGACATTTCAACGCTTAAGAAGGTCATCATATTTGTATGCACAAATTTATTGTTCCATCCGTTAAAGGTACTGTATCAAAGACTGGAACTGTATTCCGATTTCAATACAGGGCATAAAATAATAACAACTCTAAAAGTGCAATAAGAAATTATTTGGGAAATCAGATGGAGGGATAATTGTTATGCAATTTTTGGGCTGAATCTGTGAACTTTTCTTAAAATACAATAACTTTAATTTTAATGTCTTCACAACTTTTTAAATTTTAAATTTTCATCATTCAAACCTCATTTTAATAATAATAATAATAACCTGACCCTGGTTCCTATTAATATTATTTTTAATATTTTTATTTTTGTAATACATTTCAATTACTTTGAAGTTTTCATGCTGGGGTAGGGGGCTACAATTGTGTCTGTTACTACCACCACATCGAACATGCTCGATGGACCGGCCACACTGACATAGGCCTAGGTAAAATGTATGCATCACTGCACATACGACTAGCAAAAGTAACAGAAAGACAGGACAGAAGAAGCAGCACAAAGGAAGGGATGAACAGATGTAAATCACCTATCTACCCCACTCTCCTTGAAAAACAATTACATGCAATACCATTGAACAATAAAATGCCAGACTTTTATAGTTTTTATGATGAATACAGTATCTAATTGGAGTTTTTGGAATGTAGATAGTCTTCAGTCCGTACTACCGTTTTGGATAGGCTTCCAGCGATAAGATATGTCCAAGTCCCCATGTCCCATCCACATAG